AGTAAAGACAAACTCACCGTGTCTATCTAGTCATGATGAAGATGTATATACATTTCAATTTCAGCAGGCAACTATCTACATTATTGTTCCAGCCACAATTAATCACAACAATGTATATACAATTACAAACGATTATATATAAATCGTCAGTTTGTTGTTTCACACACATACATTATTTCATACACGACATAGTCATGGAGATGCATATGGCAAGAAATCTGTAGACGCGCCCATAACAACAAAAGACAATACTTTATTGAACCTTTTCTGATAAGAAGTGTGCGCTGCAAACGCGAGCATTTTTGACGATCGTTTCTGATCCGTCTGCTCGTTTTATCGTGTTTAACCACAGCTGTCGTCGGTTTTTTGTCTGGCAGTGGCAGCAGATATGCGATCAAATTTCTAATTTGAGGCTGTATTACGTCGATTCTGGCACCCAACATCACAACAAGATGCTATTTTAAGCTCCTTATGTAGCCGAATCTGCGCTGGTTTGAATGGGCCGCCTCCAGTTTCCCCTTTGTTTTGCTGCCTCCAGCTAGCGCTGTGACGTCGCTGACCCTAGTTACCTGTGGTTGGACAGGCCGTGCGTCACTCAGAACACAACAGGCCAATCAGAAGAGAGGCTCATGAATATTAATTAGACAGACCAAAATCGACCTGTTCTCAGCAGAGCTCCTGAGAGAGCAGCTGTAAAAATATTGATATGGTTTTTGGAGCTTATACCGCAAATATATATATTCTTAAGGACATCAAAACCTAAAATAAAACTCCAGAAAGGTGTACAATATGGGACCTTTAAAGTTCACTTCCAAAAAGTATTACAGGACAGCGTTTTACTCATTATATTTATTACAGATTTCTTTTTCTTTGTATATATAGTCCATGTCCAATCAAATGTGTTTCTGGGAATGTCAATTTACAGTTTTTCGCTGTTTCGCATTATAAGATGACTTCCAAAAACTTTACATTCAACAGTATTTTACCGTAATAAAACATTTTCCTGTTTAATTTATTGCTGTTTTTCAGCGTAAAGCTTTTTTACTGTTATAATACTGTTTCTCCTCCGGTAGGCCTCTGCCAGCTGGACACAGGAAGTGATGCGGACATGGAGGCGGCGATCGACCCCCTGCTGTGCCATTATCAGGGGCCTGTGGGTTCACTGCTGAGACGGAGCAACCGCTGCAGCCCCGATCTGCCCGACACGTACAGCGGTGAGTAGGGCTGTGCAATTAATCGAAATTCAGTTTCGATTTTGATTTCAGCCTCCAACGATTATGAAAATACAGTAATCGAGATAAAACTACTATTGCGCCCCATTGCGCTTTCGCTCCTACATAATCCGTAAAATCACGTAACGGGACGTGCAAAATTTATTTAAGTTGATTAGATCGATTTATGGTTTTAAAAGCGTGAAAGAACTTGAGCTTCCTCGGGAGACGGAACACAACACAAACACGTAAAGTCATCTTTTAGCGCCTAAACGGTCAAATACACACAAAAATGTCAAAATGCGGTGCTTAGAGATTATTCACGTAAACCCTCGTCGGTTATGTAATAAATGAATGTAAAGAGTTAAGAATGAAAATACGCGTGGGATTTGTGCGGCTCTTAAAGTGACAGCAGTATTCCTGCTGCCGACTGTGTGCTTAATATTAATCAAACAACAAAAGACGCATTCAAAATCACTCGCTGCTCTTGACTGTAGCTTTAATAAGAAACAAAGGAAGTTTAATTCTTACAGTGAAGACTATGCTGTTTTATTTTACATTACGTTATTCAATTTCTCTAGTAGGCCGTTAACTGAATACTTTAGACTTGCATTAAAAAATCTTAAAGCACAGTTTGTTTCATTTGTATATTTTTGATTCTATTGTATTCTTTTGCTTTTTTAATTACTGGCATTGTATTCCTTTGCTTTTTTATTACAGTTTAATTTTTTTCAATCATTTTGAGGACCTTTGTTGTTGTTTTTTTTAACTAATATTAGTTAACTCTTGTATTCTCCTGTGGTATTTAGAATTGTGACAATGATTATTGACGACAATAATCGTTTTAAATAACCGTGATTACAATATTGACCAAAATAATCGTGATTTTGATTTTTGTCATAATCGAGCAGCCCTAGCGGTGAGTGACGCATTGTCTGCGTGCGTTAATCCTGACCTCTTCTTCTCTCGTGCAGCGTGTGCGTCAGAGCAGTGGCCCGTCGGTGTCACTTCCTCCTGCAGCAGGAAGCGTGAGTTCTACACCTGCAGCTCCGCCCTCGAGCCCTTCGATCACATGATGATGCAGATGGGGGACACTTCCTGTGTGGAGGACTGTGAGAGAGGAGAGTGTGTTCTGGGCTCCTCGGGGTCATATATGGGTGAGTCTGAGCAACAGGAAACATGTACAGTACGCATAAGAAGTGCTTTACAATAACACTAATATGCTTTACATGCACATGACAATACAGTGACAATCAACATTTTTTATTAAAATTTTTTTTTTTATTAAAAATGTTAATGAATGTTTAATTTTAAGGCAGCATTTCTTATTTTTATTTAGTTGTAACTTGTTTTACTAAAATAAATAAAACTAAATTTAAAATTAATATAAAATATATAAAAATAAGAATAAAAATTACAAAAACACACAACTAAGTTACTGACATTTAAACTAAAATTAAAATATAAAAATAAAAACGAATTGAAAATATTAATGCAAAATTATAGTAACATATTTTTTCATCTAGTTGCCAAGGCAACATTTCTCATGTTTTTTTTTTAGTTGTAACTTGTTTTATTAAAATAAATAAAACTAAAGCTAAAATAAAAAATGTATAAAAACTATATAGAAAAAAAGAATACAAATGACAAAAGAGACAACTAAGTTACTAAAATTTAAACTAAAATCTAAATGAAAATATAAAAGTAAAAATTAATATTAATATTAATGCAAAATTATAGTAGTATCTCAATTATACTAAAATAACACTGATACTGACAATATTAAACAGACAATGGCAACAAGTTGTTCAAATGCATTTTTAATCATAATAAATAAATTTAAAAAATAAGTAATAGTTATAACAATAGTAGAATAGAAAAGAATGCCTTTTATTGTCATTCAATGAAATAATAATAATAATAATAATAAAAATTATTTATTAAATTCATAATTTACATGTTTATTTATATTTATATTAATTTATACAATTTTTTAAAATAATTTACACAGGGACTACAATGAAAAATACTTCTAAAGCATTTATTAATCTTAGTGTTCATTTCAACATTCACTTATGCATTGAATAAATCAATAGTTGCATCTGTTAATGTTATTTAATGGACCTGAGATCTGTGTCAAATGTATTGCTAATGTTAGTCAATGCATTAACTAAAGGGACCTTACTGTAAAGCTAGCAACATCAAGGTCATGGGTTCGATTCCCAGAAAGTGCATGAACTGATAACACTGATGTTGCTTTAATGTGACCCTGCAGCACAAAAGCAGTGTTAAGTCGCTGGGGGATATTTGTAGCAATAGCCAACAATACATTGTATGGGTCAAAATTATAGATTTTTCTTATATGCCAAAAATCATTAGGATATTAAATAAAGATCATGTTCCATGAAGATATTGACTAAATTTCCTACCGTAAATATATCAAAACTTAATTTTTGATTAGTAATATGCATTGCTAAGAACTTCATTTGAACAACTTTAAAGATGATTTTCTCAATATTTAGATTTTTTTGCACCCTCAGATTCCAGATTTTCAAATAGTTGTATCTCAGCCAAATATTGTCCTATCCTAACAAACCATGCATCAATGGAAAGCTTTATTCATTCAGCTTTCAGATGATGCATAAATCTCAATTTCGAAAAATCGACCCTTATGACTGGTTTTGTGCTCCAGGGTCACAAATGCGATGTAAATGACGGCGTGTGCCTGTGGTCTCAGGTACGTTTGGGAAAGCGCCGTGGCGGCCGCAGCAGGAGCTCTGCGCTCATAACGCCGTCATTCTTCACGAGAATCCGTACGCAGCGCTTCACGCCGACTCAGACCTGGACGAGGAGCACGCGAGCGTTTACGAGCAGCCGTTCGATCTCAGGACGATAGAGAGCTTTCCCACGTCACCGCTGGGCTCTTAGCGCCGCCACCAAAACCCAGAAACGCTCTTCTCAAGAAAGGAGCTACGACTGAATGTAAATGACACGTTTGTACAGAAAAACAGATTATATGCATTTTATACGAAATTATATTTTGTAAATTAATAGTGTAAATATGACCCTTATTTTTCCTACTCTTTTCCTGTAAATGTACGTCGGAGTCAGATATACTAGTTAACTGTGGGTTGTTTAATCCAGATCTGTTTATGATTATTCTGCTTTGGCTTTTGCTTTAAATAAAGCACCGTTTGCACAAACTAGTACACAATAAACATTCCAGTGAGCTGCTACACGCGTGAGCGCTAGTGTCATGTTTATGAGCTTGTTCATGCTTCATTATTGATTGTGTCGATGTGCTTTTATTCTTCACGGGAACAGAAATGTAGCATTGCATCAGTGTCTCAGCAATGGATGCTCTGCAGTGAATGGGTGCCGTCAGAATGAGAGCTGATAAAAACATCATAATAATCCACAGCACTCCAGTCCATCAGTTAACGTCTGGAGAAGACAAAAGCTGAAACACATCCAGCATTAAGATGCTTTTCAATCAGTTGAGACATCGCATCGAAATCTCCATCAAAACTGACAAGACAAGTTTTTAAGTCAGCAATTTCTTTGCTCTAGCTCAAACAAGGTCATGGGTTCGATTCCCAGGAAATGCATTCGATTAAATTGATTATACCTTAACTCATGCATTAGATAAAAGCGTCTACCAAATGCATACATGCAAAAATAGGATAGGATTTGATTTCATCCGTGATGAATTGCATAAATTAATTGGATAAATGATTAGATGATTAGATTTAATTTAGTGCTTTTTTTTTGTATCGATGAAATACTATTATAGTTTCTATTAATATGTAGAATCAGTTTTTATAGTTTCATTTTAATTCGACAGTTTTTTTTAGATGTCTATATAGTTTTTAAAATAATGTATTTATTTTTTATAAATCTTATTTTTAATTTATTTTAGTACTTTAAAATTTTTTATTTTTATTTAATTATTTTTATTATTTAAATTAAACTAAATTAAAATGAGAAATGTTGCCTTGGCAACTAGCTGAAATAATTTTTATATTTCAGCTAATGTTTATTTTATTTTAATTCAGTTGTTTATTTTGATTTGAGTGGTAGTTAACTATAATAACCCTTCACAATAAGAACAGGCCGATGAGTTAAAGTAAATGGAGTGCATTTTAGTTGCTGCACATTCCCGTGTATTTTCATGCAGCAGGTATTTAAACCCGTTAAACACAAAAGCAGCGTGTTGATCAAAGCGTCTCGAGCTGAGAAGCGTTTCGTTTCAACCGCCGCTAACAAAGAGTTCCAACTGGAATTCCAAAATAATTCCCCCGCTGTGATTTTGGCTCCAGTGAAAACTAGACAGGAAATCAACTATTTCTCAGACCACCGGCGGATTTTCCCTGATCCTGCGTCGGCCGAGGAGCATCTGAACGTGACCCGGCGCTGGAGCGGCTGACCTCAGATCAGATCGAAGGTCCAGGGTTTACCTCCCGTCCTGTGACTAAGCAGAGCAAATGCATTTCACATGCCTGTCTCTTATCTCGCTGCCAGACACTGAATTTCAGAGCCGATTGGTCCTTATTGCTGCCAGATGTTGCAGCATGGACGCAGATGTTGAGATAATCGATGACCGGCAGAGTCGTTTAGCTCTCATTAACCCATCGTTAGAGGAAAAGAGCGTCTTTCTGCCGAGTTCTGCCCTGATTCTGAACATTTAGGATCTGATTCTGTCAGAGGATGCTTTCTTACTGATGCAAATCACACTGAAAATCTTCATCCACCCTTTAGACGATTTAAAACGGATGTTCTTTATGGTACAGATGTTGCTGTAAATCTGTCGGCGCAGGTGGGAATGTGAGAGTTTCTGGGAAGATCGGCCTGTCCGTGTCTATAACAGCAGAAAGAAGGACTGGGAAGCCAGGATAAAAAACGTAATTATACCAAACCTGTGCGCAGTGAGAAAAATCAACTTCTCCATCAAGGAAGACTGAGCTAAATGGATTTACAGGGCGTTTTTACCTTTATATGGCCGACTTTTCTAACAGTTTTAAATGTAAATACTTATATTTATTCAGTAAATGCAATTATAATAAAACATTATAGGGCTGTTAGCAATTAAATTAAATCTTAAATGGCAATTACAGCTCAGAGATGTCATGAATGTGCTTATACTGCAGTTACACCTGCATTGTGTTATTAATGCTTTCAATATAAAATATATTTAATGTACAAATATGGAATTTAATTATAGGCCTACTTTAAATATGAAACGAAAACCACCAGTAGGTGCCGGCAAGTCGCTGTCTTAATGAGTGAGTCACTGATTCATTTATTTAACCGATTCATTCAAAATGGCTGATTCATTCAGGAACGAAGCAAGTCACTGTGTTTTTGAATGAGTCATTGAATCATCAACTCACCTGATTCATTTTAAAATGCTGAATCATTCAGGAACAAAGCAAGTGAGTCACTGAATCATTGACTCACTCGATTTGTTCAAAAAAGTTGAATCATTTACGAAAGAAGCAAGTCACTACTGTCTTTATGAATGGGTTGATGAATTATTGACTCACTCGATTTGTTCAAAAACGTTGAATCATTTACGAACAAAGCAAGTCACTACTGTCTTTACGAATGGGTTGATGAATCATTTACTCACACAATTTGTTCAAAAATGTTGAATCATTCAGGAATGAAGCAAGTCACTACTGTTTTTATGAATGGGTCGTTGAATCATCAACTCACCTGATTCATTTTAAAATGCTGAATCATTCAGGAACAAAGCAAGTAAGTCACTGAATCATTGACTCACTCGATTTGTTCAAAAACATTGAATCATTTACGAAAGAAGCAAGTCACTACTGTCTTTACGAATGGGTTGATGAATCATTGACTCACCTGATTCATTTTAAAATGCTGAATCATTCAGGAACAAAGCAAGTGAGTCACTGAATCATTGAATCACTCGATTTGTTCAAAAACGTTGAATCATTTACGAACGAAGCAAGTCACTACTGTCTTTACGAATGGGTCATTGAATCATCAACTCACCTGATTCATTTTAAAATGCTGAATCATTCAGGAACGAAGCAAGTGAGTCACTGAATCATTGACTCACTCGATTTGTTCAAAAACGTTGAATCATTTACGAAAGAAGCAAGTCACTACTGTCTTTACGAATGGGTTGATGAATCATTGACTCACATGATTTGTTCAAAAACGTTGAATCATTCAGGAATGAAGCAAGTCACTACTGTTTTTATGAATGGGTCATTGAATCATCAACTCACCTGATTCATTTTAAAATTCTGAATCATTCAGGAATGAAGCAAGTGAGTCACTGAATCATTGGGCTCGATTTGTTCAAAAAAGTTGTATCATTTACGAACGAATCAAGTAACTACTGTCTTTATGAAAGGGTTGATGAATCATTGACTCACTCGATTTGTTCAAAAACATTGAATCATTTACGAACGAAGCAAGTAACTACTGTCTTTATGAATGGGTCATTGAATTGTTGACTCACTCAATTCATCCAAAAAACAGAACAAAGCAAGTCCCTGTGTCCAAAATCGCCCCCTATACCCTTAAATAGGGCACTGTTTGAGGGGGCAGCCTTTCATCTTACTACTGGAGCTGCCAGCTTCAAACAATATAAAAGCGGCAGTCCTTCTGGTGCACTCAGTGTCCGAATTCACTCATTTGTTTTCATTCACTCCTTCAAGTGAACTGTATTAGTGCCCTAATGTAGGGAATGAGGGTATAGAGGGCGATTTCGGATTCTTAATTAATGATTCACTGAATCATTGACTCACTCGATTTGTTCAAAACACTGAATCATTCAGGAACGGAACACGGCTGCTGTTTGTAACTATTTTTGTTGATGGGAAAAGAACAAAAACAGTCGATATTGACAACATAGACTATTGTTAATTAATAATTAATTAATTATACACCACTGGATAAAGTATAAAACAGTGATGATTTTAAGAGGAGGACAAATCAGTGAACGCTCAGTGCTGGAGCTTTGATCAGATAGAAATAGTTTAACACTAATAACGACACACGAGCTGAGGATCCAGTGTAAATGTTTGAGTGTGTCTGTGTTTAGACTGTGTGCAGTGAGACGAGAGCGTTTCGTTTCCAGGTGCTTTCCGCTCCTCGAGCTGCGACGTCTTCACATTCCTTTGCATGTGCAGAAAGATGGAGAGAAAGAGAGAGAGAGACGGACATTCGCAGTAGTGTGGTACTTCTGCAGCACTGGAGGCTCCAAACGCAACGTTTGTTTTCAAACGGAGCTCATGAACACACCCCCTGTCTGCCATTGGTCAGACCTCCTTATAGCTCCGCCCCCAAACTCAAAACCAGCTCAAATGATGTTGGGAGTCTACAAAAGATGTAAATCGTCCACAAACAATTAAAAATGACTCGAATGCAGGACAACCATGTTGATTTTGGGTGAGTGGAGATGAAACGGTTTTGATCAGACGGGGGAAAACCTGCAGTTTGTCAAATTCAGTGAGAAAGAGCTGCGGGGAAATAAAACCAGTTTTGTTCCCCGGCATTCATACAGTCGAATGGCAATATGAACTGACTTTGCTTGACTATCCAGGTAACAAATATAGGTAATGAAAACGTTGTGGGAACATAATTTTAATGTGTTTCTAAAACGTCCAGTTTTCTTGTCATGATTACAACATTATTTAAAGGTTACAAATTCATTTCTTAGAGCGTTCATCAAATAAAGGATGTTTCGAGAATGTTGATCTCAGAACGGCTTCTCGAGAACGTATTTCAAAAATGAATAAAGTTATAAGAACGTTTCAAATTTAGGTTATTAAAACACGGAAACAATGTTTCTAAAATGTTGAAGTGTCCCGTTCTCTAGTCTTGATTAGAATGTTATTTAAGCGTTTCTTATGATGTTCCGATACTTTATTTGTACCCAAAATGTTATTTAAACGTTTATTTTTAATATTCTAAGAACAGTTAAAATGTATCGTTTTCTTGTCTTGATTAGTTATTTAAAGGTTACAAATAACATCATAAGGACGTTTTGAGAATGTTGATCTAAGAACCTATTCTCTCAACATTTTTAGTTAGTAAAGTTATAAGAACGTTCCATAAACATTATTTAAGAACGTTTTTTTCATTACGTTTATATGAAGCTTGAACTTTTAAAGCACGTCTCTGTTAACTGATATAAAGCCATGCACACTGACTAAATCAGATCTGAAGTATCAAGTCAAAGATTCATCGTTTGAGCGGTTAG